TATCTTCTCAGAGTCAACACACAGGCCTAAAACATAGTAAGTGGGGAATTACTTGCAGATTAGGGTTCCCAAGACTCACTCATAGCCTCATTTGCACTCAAGTACTAAAAACAGACTGTGGCATCAATCGTAACAGCAGCCTGCCTCCCAAAAAAAGCCAAGAACCTCTTCCAAGGAAAGCCTTAATAGCAGCTCACAGTTTGGAGGTTACAGGCCACAGTGATTTAAAACTCAAATGCCAAGGTCTATAAAATTTTATTTTTAAGAAGTCAATCTACTTGGTACACATCCCTTCTCCTGAAGTATACTTTTTCTAAATAGGGTCACTATGTAAAGCATTCAAGAACTGGTACTGAGGCTATATGCAGTTTAGAGACACAATACGAAGCTGGCGTACACAATGCACATACACCATCCACATGCAAATAAAACAACTTACAGTGCAGCACACTGGTCATCAGCACTGGTCATCTTTAACCCTATTCACACATCAGAAGACAAAAATATGTCTCCTTACATTTTTAGATGTCACTAAAAGCTTGTTGCAAGTATCAAGACAGACAAATGCTAAGTGACGTGCTAATTTTAACTCTCTCCAACTCTCTGAATTCGCTGACAAGGTTTGTGGTAAAAAAACCCTAAACCCAGTTTTACTATGTGATTTTCCTCCAAAATAATTGTCATTTTTTTTGTTTGGGTTTGTTGGAGTTTTTTGTTGTTTGGTTTTTCAGGTGGTTTTTTGGGGGAGTGGAGGGGAGGGGGTGGTTTTAAGTAAAGGCATTGAATCACAGTTGTAAGACATAGGAAGCATCTTTTTCTGTCCTGAGTGAAATACATCCCCGTTCGGGATTTTTTTTTTTTTTTGTTCAAATCAGTTAAGATACAAGCTTTAAGTTACAAAGAACACGTTTCTCAACTTGACATGGCTCAGTAAAATACATGGCAAAGCATCATCAAGAAATTATCTGTTCATCCAGGCAAAACTGTGCTAACCTGGGAGTTCAGAGTGCATTATTAGCAACAGCTGTCCTTCCACTGACTGGTATATTTCTAAGTGCTCTTATTGAAAAGGTGCTCATTCCTCTACCTAAAGGACAGAGAAATTAACAATATTTCTATTCAAAGTTGAGAAAACTATGAAGTTAGTTCAGCATTGTATCTCTATTGGCACAGACAAGAGGGAGCACAAGTCTCTGGTATGTTACACTTGATTCTCTTCTTTTAAAAACACAGCTTTTCAGTGTATCAAAACCACTTGCTTGACTCTTTCACAAATACCACCTTCCACTTCGAAAAGAAAACACAGAAATCTTGCTTGTTAACCTTCTTCCAAGACAAAGTATGTTAGCACATCTCTCTGAGACAAAGGAGCCACAGCAGGCTCTTATCTTTTACCAGCTGCTGCTTTGGTTTACATGGAGAGCTCTCTGCTGCAGCTACAGCTTCGGTTTCTGGTTTTAAACCTGATGCCATTTAAGAAAAGAAAAAAAAATATAACAAACTGAAAAAATTATAAGACGTAGATAATTTTCTCATCTGAGAAAACATTTTTTATGTAGCTTTGATTGCACTCAACAGACACTTAGTTTCAGTGCAGTACTGATATAATGTGTTTCTCATTTCTGTCTTTTGCAACAGACACAGAATACTGTTTGGGGGGTTGGCTGGTGGAGTGTTGTTTTTTTTTTGTAGGGCACAAATGCAAAAACTGGCCAAAGGACTCAGGAAAAGCTAAAGCCCACTCAACTGTCTTCAAAATTAACATCCTTTCAGAATCAAAATAAGTGAGGATCATTTGTTTAACCCAAACAGTTAATGGGCATAAAACCAAAACAATTTACATTGTTACTCATAATAAATACCAAAAAAGAGCTTACACTTAAATGAATTTTTTAATCAGTTTGTGAAAAATTATCAAAGTAGCAAAATTATATGCAACTAAGGTGTCCAGGCTGGAACATCATCCCAAAAAACCTGCCAGCTAGAACACGGTTTTTAGCCTTTAATGCCAGATATTTAGCAAATTTCAGTTTAAAACATAAATCCCAAATTGATAAGAGAACTGAATGCATCTTCCTTTAATCTGATCTACACCATTCTAATTAAAAAAAAGTCCAAGTATGAAAATGTTAATCTTTAGCAGCACTACATTTGATTTTCATTTGAAGATTTGGGCTTTTGGTCGTGCAGAATAATTCAGTCATTATTCTCTCAGCTAGTTACCCTGCAGAAGATAAGGAATACCCAGAAAGGCAACGTAAGAACACACATGCCACAGGAAGTGGATTATCAATTTTTCCCCTCTTAAATCTTATGGATGGCCTGAAAGCTCTTAAGTGGCAACTTCATTCCCCACTCAGTGAAAATATTTCCCAGAGCATTCTTCATTACAGATCATAAGTACTCATAATTAAACGACTGTTTATTTTTAAATGGATATTAGCCATTTCCCCCTTCCTCATGTAACTGTAGAGATGGCAGTATCTCATAAACCACACAAATGGAATTGCATTTATCATCCAACAGTCGCCTTATAACTTGTCCAAAAAGTAATTGTAGTGTGAGACAACGAAGTGTGCCAAGAGAGGTCTAATTGCATCACCCTACCAAGTCTTTTTTGAAGGTGCAGAAGCTGAGAAAGGAGAAGCTGGTTCAACTCTCGCAATTCAAACAAAAATTCATCTACTTTTGCCCATCTGATCTCCCGGAGTAACTATGTGAATATCAGCTGTAATGTTCTGTAGCGTGTACTGGGACACCATGTGTACAATCAGCACAGACTTCAGCACGCTGTAACCCAGATGACCATAAAAAGACCATATTCTTGTAACCTACATCTGGACATCTAATTCTGGTATGTCGACACGTCAATAAAGCTTCTCTGAACACATCAGCTACTGCAAACTTGGAAGTAATTTATTTTGTACGTGACGAATAGCAATAGTTTTCTAATAATTCTGAAATTCTCCAAAATAAGAATGGAGATTTTGAATATGTACCCGCACATATGTTATTCTGTGTAGGCTTTCAAAAGCCTACATAAAACTATTTTTGTGCTAATTCAATGGGTTATAAGTCCTCAAGGAAAAACAGCCTCTGTTCCCAAACAAGCATGTATGAACAGCTGGCCCAGACGGCAAAGACCTGCTGTTGTATTACCAGGCCACTCTTCAGCTCTTTCGGTTTTTCCCCCTGCTCGGGCCATCCTCCCCTCCCCTTTTTCTTCCACCTTCACAGTTCGCTCTTTCCACTACAAACAATTCCATATTATATGCACACACAAACCATTTTTGCAGTTGTTTAGGCTGGAGCACAATAAAACCCATGAGAATTTTGTCTGGCCATTTTACAAAAAGTGACAGCACAAGAGTGAAAGTGTGGTATTAAAAAAAAAAAAAAAGCACAGTCAACCATCTGCTGAAAGATTCTCTTGTTTGACCATTTTTATAATTGGTGAGAATGGAAGCGAGGTGACACAAAAACAGGATGTGAAGGCATGGGATTCATGTGATCTTGTACCCAATTTAAACCCAAACTGAGGGGGGGCAGGGCAGGACAAGGCAGAATCATGATTTATCAGAGGGTCTAACTAATGGTAGGATGAAAACCTAAGACGACAGACCACAGAAACATGCTATTTATCAATTTTAGAAAAATAATCTAACATTGACTTCAACAACAAAAAAGCATGCATGTACCTACTACATGTTTTAATTAAGTTTTGCTCAGAATTTTTAATCCATAATTTTCAGAAGACACTTAGCCCAACCCATTTACCTCGTCCAAAGATCTAAACCGCCATGAGGAAGCCATTCCCTCTTCCCCTGTGTACAGGTTAGCTTACAGGACTAAGTGAACCATCTGAGTATCTTCCCCTCCAGCACATTCAAACTTGTAACTTCCACCCAGTTCTACAGAATATGCTTGTAGAGCATGCACTCTACTTTTTATATATGAGCATAAATCAATGTACAAAACATCCACGTACGTTCAACAAGCCATTCATAAAACAACCCACCAGGGATAACAAGATCCTACTGACACAAAACCCCACAAATGCTTATCAGGACCTTTCGGCAGCACTAAGTTACAATATGAAAGCAATTTCAAGAAATCCCCTCTTTTTCACAAAATAATCATGTCACACACCATTTTATTAGGCTGTTACTCTGGCCTGAACCCTGCAGCTCTTTGCGCACGCAGCCGATATGACACACCACACAAACACAAAGGCCGACAACAAAACGTACAAAACATTCACAGGCAGCAAATGCTCATGATAAACATTGGCCCAGTGTCTACAGAAGGAATGTTTGAGCTCCAGTTCCTGCAGAGTTTTGTGTAGGTGGATCCCTCTGCCCAAACAGGGGTCACTGCAGGATCAGAGCCAAAATGATGTATGCTGGGTATTAACTTACCAGATAATCCCCAATATGCCAATGGCAATAACACGTAAATAGTACTCCACGAACTCTGTTCATCAATGGAGCTCGTCCACTCCATAGAGCAATTAGCACTACTTCGAAGATTACAGGATTTTGCTTTTATTCATGTTTTACGAATGTAGCAGCTAATAATAAATTGATTCTAGCCACGGAAAAACAGTGTAGGTTTAGCTTTCCTGCTGCTACACTGTAAGTATACCCAACCCTGAAAGTATTTTTAGCAAGGGTGTTCAATCAATACTGCTATGTACAACCCAAATTAGACATTAGCAGGACAACAGAATTGTAAAGCGTGGCAACAAACAATACTTTTCAGGGGAATTTTTACTGAACAAGAAATAAACATCAAACTAAACCCTAAGCAGCCGAACCTGATTCCAAACAAACTTAACTGCAAAAAGAAGAAAAATGTACCAAAGGTAAAATATTCACACATTTCTGCTTTTGAGGAAAATGCATTTCTATTTCAATGTTCAATCTAACTTAAAAAACCTACAAATAAAAACATGAACACAATCTGCAAATACCCAGAAACTGTAATGCCAACAAAATTACCTCAAAAAATCAGACCACTGGTTACATTTCTGAGTTTATAAAACATAAACACGCCCGGGAAACATACAGACATACGCTTACGTGTTTGTAAGCTTATCACCCAGAATCACATTTTATCAACATGGTGCAAGCCAGAGTCATGCCAATATGCAAAAACAACTTTTTAGGTCAGTGAAGCAAGAAATCCATTGTCAAGAAAATGGCATCCATAAGATTACGATACTGAATATTTTATGTTTAGGCAATGAACTGGAAAACTTTTCTATAATATACGTATCTAATAAGAAAATAGTTTTACCAATTCTCGTCTAACTCATTCTTGTATTCCTGCAACACATGTTTACAGCGTGACAAGCTCATAAATGTCTGCATGTGTGTGAACACACCAGAGGCTCCCAAGATTACAGGGCAGTTATTTGCCAACAACAAGCAGGCAAACATGTGCACTCACAAAACCCCCTTACCATTCACAGAGAGTTTAGCTCAGGGCAAGAGAAATGCCCTGTGGGTGAGAAAATGCATGTGCATACTGTAGTCTAACAATTATTCTTCAGCTGAGATCCATTAGCACTTCTGTAATACACAAATCACATAAATATTTTCTATCTCACAGTTAAAAAAAAAAAAATTGTAACAGGTTGGCCACACTGAAGTCCTGGAAGGGTATAAGTAGCAGCACAAAGTTCATTCACGTATATTTTGCATCTGAACGACCTATATTCTTTGAATAGGCAAGTGGTGGGAACGTTTCACCTACACTGGCAGCTACCTAGTTTTACCAACTAGCTCTTGGGAGATTTTTGCAAAGGGAAAAGACGTTATTCCTCTTCCAGCTGGTGCTGCAACAGTACACACGCGTTAACCCATCACCAGGTACACCCAAAGCCTCTGTCGCATATAGACACATGCGATTATACAAGCCTTCTGCTTGCGGGAGATACTAAAAATGTACCAGCGGAATGCAACGACAGCACTCAAACCCATTTTCCCTGCCCATAACCAGGGCAACCAGCACATGTGCCTAGAAAGCACAGGAACGCAAACTTTCATTATTTAACATACTAAAAAAAATAATAAATTAAAAAAAAAAAAAAAAAAATCCGTTTGGGGCGTTGAGCTGAGTTTACCACATTTTTACAGACCCCAAACAGCCCCCGACCTGCTGCCTACGAGCCCTCTCCGCGGGCCGGGGACCCCCCCACCCCCCCAAAACCCTTTGGCCAGAGCACAGGCGGCTCTCCTCTCTTTTGGGAGGAGGGGGCAGAAGGCGGGGGGACACACACACACACACACACACGACACCCACAGACACGGCCCCCCTCCACCAAAAGGGCTCTGGGCAGAGCCGCTCTCCGCCAGCGGCGACCTGTGCCCGGGGACCCCCCCACCCCCCCAAAACCCTTTGGCCAGAGCACAGGCGGCTCTCCTCTCTTTTGGGAGGAGGGGGCAGAAGGCGGGGGGACACACACACACACACACACACGACACCCACAGACACGGCCCCCCTCCACCAAAAGGGCTCTGGGCAGAGCCGCTCTCCGCCAGCGGCGACCTGTGCGCGGAGTTGCGGGGAGGGGGGAG